GAAGAGCCCACTTGAACAATTCAATTTTGCATAGTTTGCAGAAAGCCAGGAGAGTGGGCGCCTCCCTGATCTCCCCAGGCCGGCCATTCCTTAAGGTGGAAGCCACAATGGAAAACTCACATATGTGGGTGGTTGTTGATTTTGCCCATTTTCAGCTTGCCCTGACCCGGATGGCCCAGGCAAGCCTGATCTCATCAGATCATGGAAGCTAAGCAGGGCTGACCCTGGCTAGTACTTGGATGGGAGGCCACCAAGGAAGTTCGGGGTTCCTACACAGAAGCAGGAAAGAGCTAACCACCTCTGGAGTCTCTTGGTGTCATGGTTAGCAGTGCAGACTCTAATCTGGGACAACCGGGTTTGATTCCCCACTCCTCCACATGCAGCTGCTGGGTGACCTTGGGCAAGCCACAGTTCTCTCAGAGCTGGTCTCTCAAGAGCAGTTCTCAAAAGAGCTCCCTTAGCCCCACCTCCCTCACAGGCTGTCTGTTATGGGGAGAGGAAGAGAAGGAGATTGTAAGCTGCTCTGAGACTCCTTCAGATAGTGAAGGCTGGGGTACAAATCCAATCTCCTCCTCCTCCTCCTCCTCCTCCTCCTCCTCAAGTCATCTATGGCTTGATGGCACTTTCCACCACTACCATCTGGAGAAGATCCTGGGATGTCTCTAATTCAGGATTCGATAAGTCTTCTTACTACATTCCGTCCTCACCATAACATCACAGAGCCCGGGGCATTCTGTGAAACATTGCATTATATCCTCCGTCCACAGCCCTCATTCCTCTTCCTGCAGCAAAAAAATCTATCCTCTCTCCATTTATCTGTGATCCTATAAGGCAGGAGGGGCCAAACTCGCTTAATGTAAGAACAGACACTTACAAATAGCAGTGGGCTTCTGTATGGATTCATACTAATTCCTGAGGGATTAAGAAAAGTAGGTATTAAACATATTTTAATTGTTTGACTAACATTTTTTCTCATATGTGTTTGTATAGGGTCATCAATGGCACAACAGATTAATAATCTCGGTGATCTGGGGGAATGGGTTAATTAAGGAGTTAATTCTGGGACACTGAAAAAAATCAGTCATTTTCATTCTTCCTTCCTTCCACAGCCCTCATTCCTGTTCCTGCAGCAAAAAATCTATCCTCTATCCATTTATCTGTGATCCTATAAGGCAGGAGTGGCCAGACTCTATCCATTTATCTGTGATCCTATAAGGCAGGAGTGGCCAGACTCACTTAATGTAAGAGCCGCACAGAATAAATGTCAGACGTTTGAGAGCCGCAAGACATGAACAAATATTACATTATTTTTTTTTACTGGGAAATATGCAAATTTGTCTTTTTTATTAACATTAAATGAGACTGCCAAAAATAATAACAAAAGCGGCAAAGGCCGATATTGCTAATTATATTTATTTGTCCAATGATATTTGTTTACTAATGATACTTTGCTTCCCCGGCTGCCCTGCCGGGAGCCGCACAATATGTGTGAAAGAGCCGCATGTGGCTCCTGAGCCACAGTTGGGCCACCCCTGCTATAAGGCATGTCCTTTAAGAATGTGCCCTGTCGTCTTCGATGTTACCATAAGCTTGTCTTACATAACGCACGAATAAACCTTTCCGTGAGCAATGAAGGTAATTATACCCTCCTGCTCCGTGTTATCAACTAGAATCAGGAAAACATCATCCCTGCTATGCTTGAAGCTCATCGTATGGGTTTCTAAAAGCCAAGCCTATGTGTTGCAAAGGGAAATTAAAATTAAAAAAAAATGTTAAGGACATCATCTATCACAAACATTTGAAGCCCTACTGAGGAGTGAACGATCATTTCTTAGACCACCCAAGGTCTGGAACGGTTAAATTCATAAAGCACATATCTTAGGTACACGTTCCTTCTTTAATTAAACTACCGCATGGCATGATTTTTGCTTCGATGCGTAGGAGGCGCGCAGAACTGAAGAGGATGGGTAGGCTTCCCATCTCTCCTTATATATAAAAGAGTTTTGGTGTGACTCCTGGACACGCTCCCACAGCCTTTGGCCCACTCAGCTGCCTGTCTCGTGGATTCCCAATCCCCTGGCTGCATTGCCTTGCTGCGTTGGCTCGGCCCCGTCCACAGAGCCAGAAGCCAGCGTTTTGCTCTCAGTCTGGAAGGAGCCGGTGAAGGGGATGGATGCTCTGCCGAGGGAGCAGCAACACCTCCACAGGGGAGAAGGAGGCAGACCTAGTGAGCAGCAGCAAGCAGGGGAAGCACTCACCTTCGCTGCCCCTCGCAGCCCCTATCCCTCGGCCGCAAGGCCAGTGCTTTGTCAGGGCGATAGTTCAGCGGGCTGCACCACAGAGAAGACTGCCCAGCACCTTTCAATGGCTCCCCCACCTTCCTTCAGCAGTGGTGGCAGCGCCAGGGAGGGTCTGACCTGGAGAAAACGAGCTGCGGCTCCTGGAAAGCTGGACTCTCTCCTGAGGAAGACAGTTTTCTTGGCTCCTGTGTGGGACTAACTGTGACTAACTGTCCCCTCAGTGGCTTTTGGTAGGCAACCAACTTCTATCAGTAAAAAAAAAAGACTTTCACATAACCCCCTCCCCCGCCCACTGACATCTTGGCCACTTTCCTGTCAGAATACATTTAAACTGGCTCTCTCTCCTTTTTGGCTCAACCATGGCTGGCTGGCTAATGAGGTGGGCCAGCGACCATCAAACCGTTCTCTTCAGCCCCCTGCTGTGTGGCTGACTTTCCCCTAGGGTTGCCAGTCTCCAGGTGGGACCTGGAGATCTCCTGCTATTACAATTGATCTCCAGATGACAGAGATCAGTTCCCCTGGAAAAAATGGTTGCTTTGGAGGGTGGCCCCATGGCATTATCCCCCACTGTGTCCTTCTATCCCCCCCCCAATGCTGCCCTCCACAGGATCCACCTCCCAAATCTCCAGGTATTTCCCTAATCAGAGGTGGCAACTGTGCTTTCTCCTCAGTGCCTGTTGCTAGGCAACCAGGTTCTGTCAGTAAAAGGCCCTTTCCACACCTATTTTGGCCTTTGGGAGAAAACTCATTGGGGGGGCAGTCCTGATAGGGTTGCCAACTCCAGGTGGTAAATTCCTGGATATTTGAGAGATGGAACCTGGAGAGGGTGAGGTTTGAGGAGTGGTGGGACCTCATACAGGTGAATTGCCATAGACTCCACCCTCCAAGCCATCCATCCATCATGGGGAACCATTGTTGCTGATCTCCAGGTGGGGGCAGGAGATCACTCAGAATTACACCTGCTCTCTAGGAGGGAGGGGGAAGAGACGGAAAGCTGAATCCAGGGGACAGATAAAGGTAGGTTGATGGTTGGCTGGGTGGGAGATAGGGTTGCCAACTCCAGGTTGGGGAATTCCTAGAGATTTGAGGGGTGAAGCCAGGGGAGGTTGAAGTTGGAGTAGGGGTGGGACCTCAGACAGGTGAAATGCCATAGACTCCACCCTCCAAGCCAGCCATTCCCTCATGGGGAACCATGGTTGCCAGTCTCCAGGGGAAGGAGGGATATCACACAGAATTACAACTGCTCTTCAGATGGCAGAGATCAGTTTCCCAGGAGAAAATGGTGGACTCTCTGTCATTATACCCTGCTGAGGTCACCACAGCAAATTGACGCTGAGTGCCCAAGGCAGGGGCACTCTCCCAGTCCTAGAGTCCGTTGTATTTATTTACACAATGGGCCTTATTCCTAGTTATATATAAGAGGTGATACTGGTCCCTTCCGCATTTGCCTGCATCATGTACCTTCGACCGTACTAGAGACCAACAATGCTATATCTTGTCATCCATACAGATAGATTCAGGTGGGTAGCCGTATTGGTCTGAAGCAACAGAACAAAGTTTGAGTCCAGTGGCACCTTGAAGACCAACAAAGGTCCTTTCGGTATTTGGAGGTAACATAATGCAGAATGGGGGATGGGGGTGGGAAACGGAATAAAAAGGAGGCTGGACTCAATTTTAGTGCAGAATGGAGGGGGGGGGAACTGGGTTAAAAAGAAGTTTGAATTCAATTTTAGTGCAGAATTGCTTGGAGGACACCACGGTGAACATGGATTAAAAGGAGCATGCAGGAAGGGCACTGCCCCCCCGCCCATCCCTAGCCTGACTTTCAAGAGAGAATGTGTATGTGTGTGTGCGTGTGCACGCACACACACACTAAGTGGTGTCAAGTCACTTCCAAGTTATGGTGGCCCTATGACTGCAGAGCCTATGCGGGCGCATATTCAGCCAATGCTCCGCCGGTTGCACTGGCTACCAATTGAGTACCAGATCCATTTCAAGGTGTTGGTATTAATCTTTAAGCTCTGAGCAGCCTGGGAGCTGCATATCTAAGGGACTGCCTCTCCCCATATATCCCCCACCCACAGAGCCTTGCACTCCGCTGATCAACATCTACTGGTTATCCCTGTTTTTGATAACCAGCCCAAGAAGAGGAGGAGGAGGAGGAGGAGATTGGATTTATACCCAGCCCTTTACTCCCAAAGGAGTCGCAGAGTGGCTTACAAACTCCTTTCCCTCCCCCTCCCCACAACAGACACCCTGTCAGGTAGGTGGGGCTCAGAGAGCTCTGACAGAAACTACTCTTTTTCAAGGACAGCTGTGCCAGAACTATGGCTTGCCAAAAGTCATCCAGCAGGTACAAGTGGAGGAGTGAGGATTCAAACCCGGTTCTCCCAGATTAGAGTCTGCACACTTAACCACTACACCAAACTGACTCAGTGAAGTTCATGAATACATATATCTGTGTACGTCTACTGTCCCTGACCTAGCCTGGTTCTCAGAGTATGGAATTTTTATCAGACTGGGGGAGGGGGGGAAAGAAATTATAGCAGAGGCAAGCCTTTCTTCTTTGCCTAATTCAACCAGGTTTAAGTACCATTATTATTTTGTCAGCTCCTTGGAATAACACCATTCTGGTCTTTATATCTCCTGGCAGGTCTCTATAACAGGACACAACAACCACAGAAGCCGAGAGAGACTACAATGGCCAATTTCAGCAAGACACCCCTAGATTCCATGGAAGTTGGGACAGAATGTTGTGAGATACACAATGACTCTGGGATCTCAATTAATGAGAGTACACTTTATAACCCAGAAGGGATCTTCCACAACTATCTAGAACTTTTTGTCTACATCTTTGGCTTTGTCCTCTGCATTATCGGGATTGTGGGGAACGGGATTGTCATCTGGCTGCTGGGCTTCTGCATCAAGAGGAACCCGTTCACCATCTATATCCTGAACTTGGCCTCTGCTGACTTTGGGCTCCTTGTTATTATAGCCCCCTTGTGTATTTTGGATCTTCTTAAGCAGACCCCTTATCTCTTTGGTGTGATAGTTGGCAACCTCAACCCCTTCGCATACACTGTTGGTCAACTTCTACTGACAGTGATCAGCATTGACAGATGCGTGGTCGTCCTGTTCCCAATTTGGCATCGATGCCACCGGCCGACCCACTGGTCCACCATTGTGTGTGCCTTCATATGGATTCTCTGTTTCCTTCTCTATGGAGTTCGAGTGGCTCTCATCATCTTGAAGTTAGATGGAGACTATGTTTTGTTTGGCCAGGTGCTTGTGTACGCCATGTTTTGCCTCCCGCTCATCACCATCTCCACTGCGACGTTGTTGTTCAAAATCTGCTGTAAACGTCAGCAACACCAGCGAGGAAAGCTTTTACTGGTCATTTCACTCACTCTCCTTTTCTTCCTCATCTTTGCTTTTCCGTTGAGTGCTATTTTCTTGTTCAATTATCTTTCCAACAGAGTGCATTCCTACCTATACAAATATGGCAACTTATGTGCCATTCTTAACAGCACTATCAACCCGGTGATCTATTTCTTGGTCGGAAGAAAGAAGAAGAGTCAGACGAGGGAGACCATGAAGGTGATACTGCAGAGGGTTTTCAAGCAGGAAGAAGAGTGTAAAGAAGGATTAGAAACTGCAGTTCCAACCTAGTAATGACACCTTCACGGAAGCCAGGCATGCCTGGCATTGTCTGTTTCAATGCTACAGAAGAAACCCTCAAGTCTTTTGATTGGAAGATTATTTTTCCCCCTCTGTCAAGTCACGGCTGACTTAATGTGACGCCCAAGTAGGGTTCTCAAGGCAAAAGACATTCAGAGGTGGTTTACAATTTCCTGACTCTGCATCATGACTCTGGTATTCCTTGGTGGTCTCCCATTCAAGTACTGGCCAAGGCTTCTGAGATTTGACAAGACCGGGCTATTCAGGTCGGGGCTGGAAGATGCTAGGAAACAAACAAACAACAGCAACAACACAAATCCTGTTTGATTGACGGCATAGAAACCACAGATTTCCAGTCGTGGACAATAATGAAATTATGTCCCATTGCTTTTGATGGAGGATAATTCCACTGGACCAGGTCCTAAGGATAAACAGAGTGATGCTACCACAGTGATGCTACCCATGAAGCCATAATTGTAAAGTATACAAGTGAAAGGTTTCCTTTTCTTTCTTTTTTTGTGCTAAGTACTATTTAAGACCGGATGTCATCTTAGGCCCCCAGAGGGCTTATCTCAGGCCCGCAGTGGAACTGGCTGTCTTCTGCTTCTTCTTCCAGTTCTGCTGCTGCTGCGTCATTGTAGGTTTGCAGCTTACAGATACACACCTGAACAGCATACTCAAGACTGCAACAACACAGACATTTTGGTGCAGTAATTCAGAGCAAGAGGTGTCCATTATCAGACAGTTAAATAAACAAAATATTGCAAGAGTGCTCATGTTTTAAGCTTGTTTTTTTATTTTAAGTTTTAAAAAAACCCTTTTTGTTTGTGTCCTTTGTAAAGTTTATATCTCCGCTACCTGGCATTACGTTTTATGACACACATGGCCCAACAAGGTCTCATTTATGTCAGATCCGGCCCTCATGACTTCGACACCCCTGCTGTAAAGAAAGAAATAGAGACACGACACTTAATAAACAGGACAGAGCAAAGATTGGGAAACCTGTTGACATTATCAGCATTATCTAGACAGAAAGGTTATATAGAAGCACTACATTTCAGAAATTGTTCACGGCAAAATATTCTGGAATGCAATGATATTGTAAGGTAAAGGTAACGGTAATGGTTTCCCTTGCTCGAAAGTCAGTCGAATCCGACTCTAGGGTTGCGGTGCTCATCTCCGTTTCAAAGCCAAAGAGCCAGCGCTGTCCGAAAACGTTTCCGTGGCCATGTGGCCGGCATGACTAGACGCCAAGGCGCACAGAACGCTGTTACCTTCCCACCAAAGTGGTACCTATTTATCTACTTGCAATTTCTTGCTTTCAAATTGCTAGGTTGGCAGGAGCTGGAACTAGAGACGGGAGCTCACTCCGTCATGCAGCACACTCGGGTCTCGAACTGCTGAACTACCGACCTTCCACAGCCTGCAGTTCAGCATCATAACCACTTGAGCCACCGCAGCTCAATGATATTGTACTTGATTACAAATCTTAGACAACACATATTTCCTCTTAGTAAATATATATTGGAGCCCAACATGGCCTGAAGGGGCATTTCTGTCAGCACAAAACAGGACAGGTCCTGAGATTATTTTATTTATTCATTTATTTAAATATTTCTACCCTGCCTTTCTTTTCAATGGGGACCCAAAGTGCCTAATAATATCATTCCTCCCATTGCATTAATCCCCACAACAATCACCCTGGGAGGTAAAGGACATATGAACAGAAGAGAAGCCACGTTGGATCAGGCCAATGACTCATCCAGTCCAACACTCTGTGTTACGCAGTGGCCCAAACCCAGGTTGGTTAAGCTAACCGAGAGTGACTGGCCCGAGGTCACCCAGCAGGCTTCCATGACAGAATGGGGGTCTGAATCTAGATCTCTCTGCATTCTAGAACAACACACTGGTTCTTACACTACATTGGAGACATTACATTACTTATGGAGGCATTTGACAGATGTTCAGTTGGCAGGGACTGGTGAGAATGCCCTTTTGGTGATTCCCCCTGGATTTTGGAACTCCATAAAAGAGCCCTGATGGATCAGACCAGTGGTCCACCTAGACCAGCATCCTGTCTCACACAGTGGCCAACCAGTTCCTCTGGACATCCAACTACAGGGCATAGAAGCTGAGGCCTTCCTAAGAACATCAGAAGAGCCCTGCTGGATCAGACCAGTGGTCCACCTAGACCAGCATCCTGTCTTACACAGCGGCCAACCAGTTCCTCTGGAGGGTCAACAACAGGGCATAGAGGCCGAGGCCTTCCCCTGATGTTGCCTCCTGGCCCTGGTCCTCAGAGGCTGAGTGCCGCTGAATGTGGAGGTTCCCTTTTGTCACCACACTGAGTAGCCACTGGTAGACCTATCCTCCATGAATAATAGAGTTGGAAGGGACCTCTGGGGTCATCTAGTCCAACCCCCTGCACAATATATAAGATCTATATCTGTATGAACGTCCCGGGAAAAAAAAAATTGGATGCGTTTGTTCTGAAAGACCTTTTGAAGGACCTTGATTTCTGCACAAGGGTTTAATTGGACTTTATTTTCTGATGTTATTGATTGTTTATTAATGGCAATACTTCATATTTCATGGTGAGCCTTTCTTGGCGCTGATGGAATAGAAAAAAAGGCACATATACTTCCTTAAAAACAAAGAAATGACATCTTCTGTGTGCTCAACAAATCAGGTGCATATTTTAATGGGGACCTTGGGTCCAAGAAGGAGCCTACACAGCTTGCCTTTCTTCACGCTTCTGCTCCCACAGATGTGGTGTCCACCTGGGCCAGGTAAAAAAAGCCTCATAAGAAAAGCACTCATCTTCCATTCTGAGGAGCTGCGGTGACTCAAGTGGATAAGACGCTGAGCTGTAGACCAGAAGGTGGGAAGCTCAGCAGTTAGAGACCCGAGTGCTGCATGATGGAGTGAGCTCCCATCTCAGGTCCCAGCTCCTGCCAACCTAGCAGTTTGAAAGCAAGAAATTGCAAGTAGATAAACAGGTACCGCTTTGGTGGGAAGGTAACGGTGTTCTGTGCGCCTCGACATCTAGTCGTGCTGGCCACATGACCACGGAAACATCTTCGGACAGCGCTGGCTCCTCGGCTTGGAAATGGAGATGAGCACCGCAACCCTAGAGTCAGATTCAACTGGCTTTACCTTCACCTCTATTCGGATTCAAACCTTTACCTTCACCTCTATTCTGAACATCTCTGCTCACAAGGGCTGTGCAGCTCAGAAAATTTCATTTCCTCAGTAGAGGGTTCAGTCTGTAGCTGTAGCTTCCTATTCCTTTCTGGATGTGGCGATAATCATCCCCTTACCTAATTTAGTTAGTTATGTACTTATCTATACCTTGTCTTTCTCTCCAGTGGGGGCTGAAACAATTAACATTGTTCTCTCCCACTGCATTTTATCTTCACAACAACCCTGTGAGGCAGGTTAGGCTAAGGGTGTGTGGCTGGCCTGAGGTCACCCAGCAAACTTCCGTAGCAGAGCGGGGAATTCACACCTGGGACTCCCAGATCCTAGGCTGACGTGCTTAATCCTATTTAAAATGACACCATCCTCAAATTTAGAGGCAGAGACCATATTGTACTTTGGCAAGGTCAACGCCCAGCTGAAACCATGTTCCTGAACAGTTTTCCGCATTACGAAATTGCCACTTCTTCCTTTTCTTTTAGTAACATTGGGGGAGGGGTGTCCATCAAAGCAAGGGCAGATTTGATGGAGCAAAACACCCATCAGTCCACTTTGATACTTTGCATGTCTTGCCCTGTGGCTATTTTGCATCATGATGCAATGCCAGGAATCATGACTCATAACTCATTCCAAAACCTTGTGGGTGAAGCCACAGAGAGCTTTAGCATAGAAGAGCTGGAAGACACGGATGCATTGAGAAAGTGTACCATCGTACAGCAGAACTGCCTAGACCAGTGGTGGCGAACCTATGGCACGGGTGCCAGAGGTGGCACTCAGAGCCCTCTCTGTGGGCACGTGTGCCATGACCCCAGCTAGGCCCAGACCATCATTAAAGTGTCGAATTCTCTGCCAAATAATTTTAAGTAAATGAAAGCATTTGGGATTGCTTTCCTTACTATGTTTGGATCATCTTAAGTTAATGTGTGAGTTGTTTTTTCTAAAGTAAAACCTCAGTATTCAGGTTAAATTGCCGTGTTGGCACTTTGCAATAAATAAGTGGGTTTTGGGTCGCAGTTTGGGCACGTGGTCTCTAAACGGTTCGCCATCACTGGTCTAGACGTTCAAGATCTCTTCTCGGTTCAATCACGATCAAGTCTCAAACTCTGTCTGCCCGCCCTTCCGCTTGAGGAAAACAGGAAATGACCTTTGTTTATTTTGAAATGCCATTTAACAAACTATGTTCTTGTTTGATTGCTTTCACAACCATGCAAAGTGGGGCTGGGGGAACCCAGGTATCAGTAGGGTTTCCAGCCTCCACGGGGTGACAACTGATCTCCAGGTGACAGAGATCGGATCATCTGGAGAAAATGGCTTCTGTGGAACTTGGGTTCTATGGCATTATAACACAATGAAGTCCCTCCCCTCCCCAAACCCTTCCCTAATGTGGCTCCAACCTCGAAATCTCCACATATTGCCCAATCTGGTGACCCTTCGTATTAGTCTCAGTTCTCTATAAAATTGGGATGTGTTTGGTAGAGGTCTTGGATCTTTCTTCTGGAGTACGTGCCGAGGGCTGGACAGGAAGTGCCAAGGCACTACTTCAAAGCCCAGATCCAAATTCCTCTTTCCATCAATAAGAGGTTCAAGACTGGTCTTCTGTACATGGATGGTTCCTTGAGGCTTCTTTAACATTGGAGGAGCTTAAGGAGTCCTAAGAACATCAGAAGAGCCTTGCTGGATCAGACTAGTGGTCCCTCTAGTCCAGTAGACCATTTAACACAGTGGCCAACCAGTTGCCCTGGAGGACCATGCAGACAGGGCATAGAGGCAGAACCTCTTTGTTGCCAACCTAT